CGGTAGAATGCATTGTGGCTTATTCTGAATTATTTGGGAATCGCCTCCGTTTTTTATCCCCTCGCAGCTCATCAAATCCAGTTTTACGTTTCACGGTGGCGATGCTGGTGGAGATCATCGTGCTGCTTTTCACAATCTCATTTACGATGATCGACACAAGTGGCTGTAAGCTATTCTCGTTCTGTTTATTGCATCTTTCGCTGAGCATCTTTGCGTGCATCTCATTTCTGCGCTTTCTCTGGATAGGGATGAGGTGCTATTCTCACTGATCCTTGTTAGGTTGTGTTCGTAATTCAATATGACATCAAGGTTTTTTCTTTTATTAAGTTTCACTGATTGCTAATCAGGCGTCTCTGCTTCTAGAATCCCTATGACCAACAAGTCTAGCGTTACGATCTCTGTTGCATGACAGTTGCTCTCTTATACTAACTGTGAAGTTTTATAACATTCTTTTGATTATATAATCGGCAGTTGGCAGTTACAAGCCAGACGCACAATTAGGTCAGACTTGGTCGTTAATAATGCAATTCTTCCTCGAGGGTACCGTAAATTCTTGTGGCTTAGTCGCCTAGATGATTATCGGAAAAATACGGCTTTTTTCGCAAGGTCGGTTCGCCTTCATCCTCTATGAACGGGCAAAAGTCCGCAAGTTCTTGAGCACCCGTAGCGCCCCTCCTTGACTGGGAAGTCCTGACAGGCAGGTCTGAAGAAGGTCCGAAAAGTCCGTTGCAGCACTGGCTGTCAGATAAAACATTGGAAATCCTTGAACCTCGGAGAAGGGTCCTCACCGACATCAAACATAATTCAACCCGACAAACTCAGGCACCGTATCACACTCATGGTGTGCATCGACCATGAAGCCTGGGAGACATGAAGGGTTTAGGAAACGGAAGAGGCCCGGAAAGCTTGAAGTGTTCGAACACTATTTCACTTAGTCCTTGCTACCGGAAACCGCCCTTGAGGGAGAAGATCAAGGATCAAAGTGGCGTGAGGACCTCCAGTGAAGAAGGTTGCCTCGACCGCTGGACCGGGCAATTTGAGCAACAGTTCTCGTGGCCACTAGCTGTCACTCATCTGGAGCCTACAGCGGAAATGGAATCCTGGACGGTGAGCCTGGAACGATGGATTGTGAATATGGAACCCTGTACTGTCTGGAAGTTTAATGACTGTACACATTCTCAGGGGTTACTGAGCTCCTGACCCGGATGCCCTCCCACCTGTATTGTTCAAGGATGGTTGGGAAGTCCTCAGTCACTGCTTATCTGATTCGCTTGCCTGCATTCGGAAAAAGGAGACTGTCCCAGACAAATAAAGAGAATCGGTGATAGTGACCGTTTTCATGAAACAAGCTCATAGTGAATGTGTTAATCACAGAGAGATCAATTCCACCCCAGTCGGGATGAACCTTTTGACGTCACTCCTCAGTCTTCGCTTCATAGTGGTCAGAGAACGCTGACTCTAGAGCAGTAGGTGAGGTTCCGACCTGTTAGAGGGTGTGCTGATCAGATCTTGGCATTCCGTCAGGTGTTAGAACAACGCTATACGTATAAACGTCGGAGGCATTTAACTTGCTACCGAAGAAAACCTTGTCGGTCTGGAATATGCAGACGACATAGTTTTTACCCTCGAGAATGGGAAAACGGACCTGGTTTTTTGAATGTACCGACAAAAGTCATTCCGTCCTGTAGCATGCACTTTGCGCCCACAAAGTGTAAGATCCTGCAGCTGGACATGCAGGCACTTAGAATTCACGGAGAGGCACTTGAAGTTGCAAAACGTTTTACGATGAGATTGCTTTTTTTCTGTGCCCAATTCAGAGTGTAGTAAGCAGAGGTGGTCAACCCTTGATCTGGCCAAGGGGTGTGAAAGGGATTACGAAAAGTGTGGTTACTGTTGGTCCAACTTCCAAGATGGGGACCGCGTGATCCCCACTGTGCCTGGTTTGATACGTTGAAACATATGGCTGTTAATCGATGTCACCAGCGTTTCTTTTTATCAGTTTCTCTCCAGATTGCCTGAATGAGTGTCTAGAAGTTTCTGGTAGACTTTCATTAGTTCCCGTCAACTTTGACCCTTTTTTCCACAATATGGCTTTCAAATAAATCATGGTTGTACGGCAGCGAAGCACCAGTGTTGAACAATGGTGTTGTTCTGCCGATGATGAGGTGGGTGATGATGATGATGATGGCAGGTGGATCAGCCGATCGGCACAATCGAGACGGATACTGGGTCGTCGTTCGAGATGTCTGGCAAACCAATCAAGGTTAATCATTTTTGCCCTGTTCAGACTTGGCAGTTCAGATGCACTTAGCCTGCGCTGGTAGAATAGTAATAACACGCTCTCCCCGCGCGTCATAGTCCAAACTTTTTGTTATGGCCACGGATATGCGTTGCCAATGAACAAAGTATGGGTCCAGTGCTCTCTCCCTTTGGTGGGGACTCACCAGACGAATTACTCCAGGACACGGAACTCGCCACTCAGAGGAGAATAACGTGAATGTGAATTTCAAAATTGAGTGGTCAGATGTTTTCCTCTCCACAAATCAGGTACACTTATTCAAGCTGTCTTCCTGTGCAGTATCCATGTTTGACGAGGGGGTGACCTACATTTACCCACTAACCGTTTACTTAATTTCAAAGTTGGATATTTTTGATCCCGATACTCAGTTCTCCCATTGAACATCGATTTTCAGATCCCGGCATCTTCTTTGCAATAACAATCATCAGTGTGGTTCTCATAAACTGTGAGTTCTGGCATCTGAGGCCGCCACGTTTTCTATTTTGTTTCTGTATTTGCGGTCTATTCTGTGACAACGTAAGGTTCTTCCTTGCGCATGGCGCGCACTGTTTTTGCGAATTTCATTTTACTCTATTTCTTATAGTGCCACTCTCTTTCAAAAGAGCCATTCAATGTGGTTTTCATAAGCGCAGGTCACCATATATGTTCTGCTCTAACGTTCTTAGATATTCAGATATTTGTCAACATTTTCAATGAATACTCAGTAATTGAAAGGACGGGCGAGTGAGGTTCAATTGCAGTCTTGATTCTGGCTAACTCGTTAGTAAGTGTTTCACGTTTGATTTCTCTCATAATATGACACGAAAAGTTCGCCCTTCAGCGCTTCTGCAGACAGGGATTCGAAAAATTCACCCTTCATGTTTATTTATTAGTAAATACTTTATATACTAGTATCCTCGCCTGAAGATGTGGAAGTTTTGACCAAGTTAACGTAAGATCGGTGTGTGCCAGTTGACGCGACCCTACCCGAAAACGATTAAGTTCGGAGGCATGGGACACGTGACCGTCGAGTACTACATGGATAGGACATTGGAGAAACCCAATGTCTATTAAGCGTCATATACCTGAACCTATTCAACCATCCTCAAACAATCGGTGCATTAAGTCTAAAACTGCGTGCTATTTGCTTTGCCGTCGAGAAATTATCACATAACAGTCCAACAGAAGAATATCACGTGATGTGCGACACACTATTACGTCAACAGGTTTTCCCGATACGCACTAAGAGTAGTTTGTTTTCCTGCTTGCTTCAGAGTGTGGACATTGAAAGCAATCCAGCAGCCTGGGTGTCCAGGTTTGAAGACTGATCCCACGACGCCTAAGGCTGTCGGTCCCAGCTGATGCGCAAATTTCGCGGCTAAGATCGATACAAGACAAATGCGATTGTCAGTCCTAACAAGTAGGCCTGTAAGGAGATGGATGGAGGGAGAAAATTATTTGAGATAGAAAGTAACCTGTTTTCGCTCACCCGCCTCGCTATGTGCAGCAACTATGACTTGATGATTACGCGACAATGAATGTGGCATGGTAATAGTACACGGGTTTAGATACAGCTAGGGAGCTCAAACCAACCAGAGCTTTTATCTCAAAAGCCCGACCACAAGACAATGGCTTTTTGTAAGAAATGCTAGTGCATTATATTGGTCACGGCCGTCACACCACTATAGTCCAGTGTCTTCGTGACAAAATTACAACAGATGGCATTTCTATGTCACAGTCATTGCCTAACTCTCCTTTACACCTTGGATACCTCAGCCTCGATAGTCTAGTCTAACTATTGCTTCCGACGCACTTTTCCGATGCTCTCTTTTTCATCAATAAGCGAAACCGCAGCACCTGATGGCAGGTGCCTCAGTAGCTTATGAACTGAGGGGACTTCAAGTTCTCTTGGCCTTCGAAAAACAGTCAAAACAACTACAGGCCTACCCCTTTTGAACGCTTCTGTTCTACCTTCTGTCTAGCTTCTGTCTACCTTAGTAGTGCCATCACTGTTTGCATCTCTAGATGATTTCTTCCGTGTTCTGACTGCTATTGTCCCATGATACCAAACAGCATCAAAGACTGTTGCACGGTAAAAAAATATCGCCTTCCGTATCTGGTTTGAGTTGACGGAAATGAGAGGTGATAATACTGCCGCTTGGCAAAGGCAAATGGAGTCGATCATGGAGAATCTGACTGGCATTGCAATGATTGACTTTCCAGCATAGGATCGGCTGTTGACTGAAAACACTGCTAGATAGTGATGCCAACCGATTTCAGTGAATGTTTGGAGACATAGACATCCCCAACTATTTTTCGCTAAGTCGGCATTAAGCTGTATCCCTATCCTATTTTCTTAGGCTGCAACGGCACTTGGACAGTATTCGGCTCCGGTCGATTATATAACAGAAGAAGCTGTCGACACATCACCATTTATATCACGGTTTTTCTAGTATCCAACTACCCAGCTGCGATCCCTTTCATTACTACGACATTCTTACCGAAATATTCTCGCTGGCGCCTCCTCTAACATTGTTTCCGTGCCTATCCTTTATAGGCTGCGTGGGAATTCACCAGACCTTGACCTTTGGGATGGCTGCTGTATTACCAATGAAGTATTCGAACGCAGTGGTTGTTGGATCGGTGAGTTGAAACTCATTTTTACCTGACCTGAAGCTCCTCGTTCGCACTGCTACCGTTTAGTGTCGACGTTGTTTCCGTTCCACGCTGACAACACTAGTTTCTTTCTTCACTCCTGACCGAGTCGATCAGTGTCGACGTATCTGGCGGTGGTGAAAGCAACTACTCGGTTCTACTCTCCTAATGTCTAAGGTTGTTTTTGGTTGTAGGATTTTCAGTTCGTCAGTGCTGTGTTTGAGATGAGTAGAACTATACCCATCGCGGTGGGCTCTCCCAAGAATGAAAGCCATCCACAATGTTTGCTCTCTAGTGTGCGGTATTGCTCCTGTCGTGTAGTGCCAGGTACAGTGGTGCTCGCTTTGTCGTTGGAAGATGCTTTTTGGGGAGACCGATGTGTGTAACTCGATGCCCGATAATATATTACTTTCGTTCAATTCCATGAGAGCTTTTTTTACTGGATTAAATTGCTGTTATTTCACCCAAAGGCGAGAGTCACCCGAGAAAGGAGAACCACATTCAAAATTTTGGAGTCGTGACTTCTCGCTCGTCATTTTTTGTGCGGTGTATCCTGACACTGAGATCACCCTTAGCCGTGAATTCACGATGTTTTGAAAACGCAGGTTTCCAACTTGACAACAACAACATATCTTCAGTCATTCTCAGGTAATCGCCTCCACCCATATTGACCACCACCAAACATCCAAACACTAGTAACTTTTTTGTTTTTTATTTTTCAGAATGCATGTGGAACCATCATTTCCATCGTCAATATACTCACGAAATGGTTGGCTACCGGTAAGTTATTGAGGCATTTTATTCAATCAGCGTTTTACTGAATATCCAGTTGTGTATCTTATCGGTGCTTCTGCATGCACTGTGGTTTCTTGGTGCAGCGTGGACACACCTTTGTCCCAGTTAGGTCTGTAGTTCTGCTTTTCATTGCCATCTCTTCTGTTTGGCTGCATCTCAACAGCTGAAAGACCGTTTCACGAATTCCAGGTTCCCTCTTTTGGTTTCCACCTTCAGTAGCCCTCTGTTTTTCATTACCATCTCTTCTGTTTGGCTGCATCACTCTCAACAGCCGAAAGATCGTTTCACGAATTCCAAGCTCCCTCTTTTGGTTTCCACCTTCAGTAGCCGTACTGTATTTTACCTGCCATTCGTAAGTTCTTCGGATGCATTCTTAGACCTACTTATTATAACCACGATAATACAACAGGAATTGTAGGAGCGCTTTCTATGTGTACTATATAACTGCACAGCTTCCAACTGTCGGCTACTTTCGACGCGTTGATGTTGTGACTTGCTTCCTGCTCCGCCCGCTATGGTATATCAAAAGGCACGGTAGCTCTACACAGCCCTTTATGGAGACAAAGGAAAATTATTAGAACCGTATTTATAGGGTAGTCACAGTGTTCCACAAGGTCGTGCCAGAATCTCCGTGAGGGGACGAGAAGCGTCGAGTCAAAGGTGCTTGACTCGAATTGGCTGGCATTCTGACCAATCAGGGCATGCCTTCGTCCTGCACGTGACACACCCGTCCTAATGATGTGGTGTTCGGTCGTTAGGGACGGCTAGCCTCCGCACAGTTGAGCCACAGGTCTCGCCGTTGATATATTGGAAATTCCAAGACTCACAGCGGTGCATTATTTTATTCACAGTCAGCCTTAGCTTCATGCCACGTTCCTAATCACAGCAGCTTCGGCGCTACCAGTAAGGTATGTGAACTCACATACGTAGAAGATACCGGATGGGAAACGAAAGAGGGGAAGAAAACTAGTTAACGGAAGAGTGAGCGAAAGACAACTGATAAATGGGATATGCCAGGGTAATCCAGCAAGCTGGTGGCTACGCGTCTATGTGTGTGCTACAATTTTTAGGGTGTTTCTATACGTATGGAAGACTGTTGCCTACCGATGTTGTGGGATAGTGCGGCGGGCCAGGTTTTCAGTTGACCGCCACTCTGTTTCCATTCAGATTGGGACTTGACGACTAACACTTAGGAGGTACCGTTTTATTTTTCTGTGGAACAAATATGTATTACCAAGGAAGAATGGACCGTTGGCCATAGATTCCCTGTAAATCACGACACAACCTGATAAATGTAATAACGCATTCCTCAAGCTGGATTGAGGACTTTTTTGAGTGCGAACACTTTCACATGGGGACGGGCTGTTCACTTTTAGCTTTGGCAATATGTTTAAATGTTGATAGCTCGGATGAGTTAATTGGCTGTCGCCCAGGTGGGAGTTGATCTATTCACCGAGTTTGGTAACTGGATTGCAAACGTTTCGTCACCATGTAAAGTGACACCAAACGGCTCACTGACAATGTCTCATCGCATGGTGACGAAACGTTCTCACTGCGGTCCCCAAGCTCGGCAAAGACTTTAACAGCCATCTTATCAGCGGCCAACAGTCAGCGTAGGTAAAAAAGAAGACACATCATTGTCATTCAGTGATGGAGGAACGCATCGAGGAATTTCAGTTAAAGCCAACCTAATTGAAAATTAGTGATACAGAGGTCAACAGTAAGAAGGTGATAATCGTACAACAAACTGTGTATGGCCGCACACCGCCCTAAAAATGGAGGTAGTGAAAAAGCGTATGGTTCGGAAATTGTAGTTAGTTGAGGTCCAAAGATTTGAGTTTCAGGGGAAACAGAGATGAGGTGGAGGATAAAAGGTGGTGGACCGGGTTTGCGTTTCATTTCAGTCCACGGATGGTACACTGGGCGTTCGAACTCGCGTGACTGAGTGGAACGGGGTATTCTAATAGTTTGTGAAAGACGGACTTTCAAACTTAAGGGCTTTGTGTGGCGAACCTCATAAACCTGCTATAAGCTGGTCGGTAGTACTACCCCGGATGGTAACTTGAGTCATCTGCCACCTGGAAATCACTCTCCTGTATATTAATTCCTTCCTTGTTTGGCTATATTGGATGTGTTCGCCGCTAACATCCGAAGAGTTTGAATCAAGGTTAAACAACCGATACTGGGGCGTTGTGGTCAATAATTGTGGTTCATCCTCGTCAATGGAGCAAGTCTTCAGACTTATTCGTTGGGTGTGCTATCACAAATCCCCATCTGTGCACGTTCCGGGTGACTACGGGCTTACGAACAACATTGTCACGCTGTATGTAGTGCCCACCTTGCATCTGGGCTACAGTCTACTTTGATTCGAAGCATAATGAATTGATGCAGCGATCACTCAGCTTCACAATATGTGACTACGCAGGTGACTTGACGTCCTCTTGACTAAATATGCGCCAATGAGTGACACTATGCGGTTTGATACTCCCCTTCATTTACTTCCAACGTCGATGTTTGAATTCAGTTTGCATATCCTTTTTCACAATTATGGTAGCTTCTGCTCCACTTGCTGCACGCATACTTTTCGCGCTGTTACTGCACCTCGTCGAACTACCCGTATCAACACTCTACCTAACCAATATATTTCCGGGCTCTGTCCCGAATTAACCGTCAGTATTCTTATCTTAGCTGAGTCTCCATTGTTTCTTCGTTCCTATGTTTGTCTGCGTTATCCCTCTGGTGTTGTTTTTGCATTATTTGGGGCGAGATGGCCCAGTTAGTAAGAGCGCGAATTTACTGAACGGAAGGTCCGTGATTCGACTCCGACCTCCACCTCTCGACTTCCCCTGTCTAGGTTTGGGTAGCCTGGAATTATCCCAGCCCTCGTGCTCTCTTCTGGTGGCATGGCAGCTAGGCACCGAATGGCTGCTACAGCTGAACACGTTCTTTCTATTATATGGAAGAAGTGTGCCAGACGCTTTCACGGTGGGGTTTCGTTCCACACAGCTTTGTGCTTTGTGCTAAGCGCCGCTCTGCTAATATTTTCACATCCAGAGGGAATCACCAATCAGACCTCACAGTGTTTTTTCTGTCCCAAGCATTTCGATTCATCTTTTTTCCCAGCGATTAACGCACAGATTTCGCTACTCATTTGTACCCCATCTTGATGCAAAAAGCCAACCTAAAAAACCTGTTACTCTCGTGCACATCTGTAGCTATTATGAAGGGCCCTAGGATCTTACGCCTAGTTAAGTGGTTCATCAGTTGGGCGCAACAAAATGTTCCACATTTCATAATGTGGGCCACCATCTGCGCGATCATTCACTCTATCTATGGGATTCTCCTCTCTGATCACGCGGATTTAACACAGTCGCGTCAGCCGAAGAGAACTTCTCTTTGAAAGTCGACCATGAAGCGCATCGTCCGTTCTGTTTTCCGGATAGCTATTACGGAATCGTTCTATGCCCACTAAATAGTTCGTCCTATACTTCCCGGATTTACTTTCTTTGGGAATAGAAAAACGAACCATTGTTTCTTTACGGTTTCCTCCGTCGGTAGCCCCGTCAAAGATGGGATACGATTGTTAGTCGTCCGAAACTGAATTGGGTTTGTGTGGATTATATTTATAACAGACTTTTCCATATAACAGACATACCAGTCTCTAGCCGCCTCTCTCCTCTTTCCCTCCATCTTGACAGTGCAGGGACGAACACGGAAATCAATCATTGTCGCCGCGATCGCCTACTTCCTATCGGCTATCGCAATTGTGATTACATGTGTGATCACATTTTTCTGGCTGCGGCGTTTGGTGAGCCTATTTCTTCGCTTGGTCCTGATTAATTTTCGTTTGACTTGTTCATTCTATCCTATTGGTCATTGGAAGTTCAACCAATCAGGTGTAGGAGATAGGTTGGTTGCCCCGAGGACAAGAATCCGCAGAATCTGGTTTTAAAGATCTCAAGATGCCTTTAACCTGTCTATCATACTGGCATACCTATCTTACATTAAGCTTGATGTGTTTTTAGGTGGGACTCCGATCCGGTTGTTTAGGGGTCGGAAGCCCATGATGATGCGATGGGTTGACTACAACAGTGAATCGAGATGTCTTAGTGGCTGAGGCGCTGACCGGAAGGTCCATGGTTCACATCCACCCTCTACATCTTGACTTCTCTCTACGCTTCGGCAGCCGCCCCTTGTCCTTCCTTCGGGTGTCACAGCCGCTGGACGTCGAAAGGGTACTGCAGCTCTGAACCCGCAGTACCTCATCAGGTCATACTTGGTGTTCGTATAACAGTTCCGAATCTATTCTGTTAGGATGATCGGAAAGCGTCCGATTTGGAAATGTGCACAGCTGTGCACTCCGCTTCTTCGATTTTGTGGAGAATACTTGATGTCAGTCTCGAAGCGGCCTTCAAATCCAGCGACCTCAATGAAGAAACCCAGCAAGCGATACGTCAAACCGCTGTCCCAGCTATCATGCGAAACAAAACACACAACGCTTTATCCACTAAAGAAAAAAGAGCAATAAACAGCCTCAAAGCGGATGAAACCATCGTTATTTTACCAGCTGACAAAGGGAGAATGACAGTCATTCTGGAGAAAGCTGAATACATTGACAAAGCTAATGCTCTACTCAATGACACAACCACATACCGCCGTCTGCAGAACGACCAAACCGCGAAACTTACGAACAAGATAAACATAACCCTGAAGAAACTCAGGGATTTTCACAAAATTACAGAGGAAGAATACTGGAGAATGAAGGTTCGTGACTCAGAAGTTGCCCGATTCTACGGACTTCCAAAGGTTCACAAAGAAACGGTACCATTACGCCCAATTGTCTCACTACCAGGAACACCCACGTACAACGTTTCAAGAGAATTATGGAAGCGGCTGAAATATCTAACCATTGGGTCCCAATATTCGATCAACAATGCGGGACAGTTTCTGGAGAAACCCAAAAACGTGAGAATCGAAGAAGACGAAATAATGGTGTCCTTTGATGTAACCTCACTGTTCACATCGGTTGATTTGAATGCAGCACGGACGACGGTCGCCGAACTCCTGGACAACCGCGGAAACATCAACGGAACGCTCGGAAAAGAAGAAATATGTGAACTACTAGACCTGTGCTTGACAACCTACTTTGAGTTCAATGGAGAATATTACGAACAGA